AGTGTGAATTTAGTATGTTATGGTTGATAAAATATTCAACAAAACACTTTTAGCTTGTGAAAGATCAGTGTGATTTTTTTAATGATTTTTTAAATATTTTTTGCTAAGCACAGCTTGTTTATTGAACATGGAGACAGTCAAGTTAGAATTTTCTAAAAGTAAGAAAACATAGTCGGCTTTCTCATTGTGAAATACTGTATTCCTCATGCCCAAAGATAATGCCTTTAATAGTAGATTCATTTGTAAAGATTGCCATTAAAATGACTGTAGTCTTTGAATTTAATTTCCCCTCACAGATAAGGTTGCTTCATGTTGATAAATGCCCTTTATAATAAAAAGGCAACTTGAAGGCAATATGCTCTTAGTTTACCTAAGAACTTTTGCAGATTTTTTTTTCAAATTTATAAGATGAACTTCATGGTGCAAAAAAGCATCCCACGTGACCAGTTCTAACAACCAAATTCATTGTGAAAGAAAAAAATGACATTTTTATCCTGTTTTTTTTTTTTCTATTGAAAAAGAGGTTAAAAAACAAACAAACACCCAAACTTACAGGCATACACTAACAGGAGCTAATGTTAAATTTATCCCTACTATCATTAATAAATAATAACTATTGTCAACCATTACCAGCAGCTAACAGCAAAATATATTTTACTATGTGAGAAAATACATAGCACCTAATAGAAAAGCAAAATAATATATCAGTCAAGAGTATCTGTTCTAGAAGAAAACCCCATTTTTGAATTCCATCTCTACCATTTTCTATCTTTGTTAATTAGCCATCTGTACATTTATTATTTTCACTGCTGGAATAAGATACTCTACTGTCAATAGTCATTTTGAGGAGTTATTGAGTTAATCATGCAAAATGCTTAGAATAGTACCAGACATAGTATGACCTCCTTAAATGTTGGTCATATGTTAAGTGATAAATAGATATACTGTAGTACAGAATTATTTTCATATATGTATAATTATGCAGATATAAATAATGAGGCAAAGGAAATAAAGTAGTGACAATTTCTGAGTTCTACTTTACAGAAATTAGACAAAACACACTTACACATAGACATAGAGACAGAGAGACAGTGACAGAAAAATACAAAAATAGAGAAAGAGACAACATCACTAAATTATATTTCTTTAGGATTAAGCTTCATTATTATCATAGGCATACAACAAAAACAGCTTACTTATTTGTTAAATTCATAAATTTCATGTATTTAAACTTTCATTGGTATATTTATTTATATTATCAATTCCTGATTACTTTGAATAAAAACTCAACAGGTTTTCCCCTCTAGTAACCACACCCACTCTTCTTTCATGAGCTTTTAAGAACCCTAAAGCCCAAAATATACATTCCGGCTAGATGTCCTTATGGACCTGTATACAGAGTTCATCCTGAATCTCCATTTCCTGGAAATCTTATGTTTCAAATTCAACACCACCACCCCCCCCCCCCCGTCTCTTTCTGAAAGGAATAAATGAGCATATTCCACACAGGTGTGGGTTTCTCTAGCATTAATGGCAGCCACAACTTTTCAGAATGTTATTTTTACTGAGACAGATTCATCTAGGGACATATTTTTACAATATTACAACCATTCTTTGGACCACTCAGGAGATCAGAGCAGACATTGACTAACTGATATACTCATCAAAGGGAATTGAGATAAGTTAGACCCTTAAATTGCTAGGAAATCATGTTTTTCCCCATCTATGCACTGTCTATGTGACTCCCTAGACAGGACAGAGATGAGTTTCCTGTTCAGACTGTAATTTGCCTCAAATCAGTATTCAATACCACCTAAACGTGATGGGACGCTGAAAGCCACAGGTGCGTGCTTCTAACTGATTCCATGGAGATGCCAGAGAGGCTAACAACATGGAGGGAAGTCACTGGTCATATTGCAGAAGTCACAATGTTAACTGATTTCTACCACCCCAAGGAAGGAGTAACAAAGATGTAGAATAGCCTACAAATTAGAAATGAAATTCTACTTTTCATGAGAATGTTTAAAGAGAGAGATTATAACATAATCAAAATGTTATCTTTTTCCCTCTGGAGCAAATCAGAATAATCATAACCTGCCAATCTGAGGTAGCTGTGAGTCCTCACACTCTGGATAATCAGGTATTTCTACAACACAATTGAATCAGCCAAGACATATTTGCTATTATCAAGGAATATCTTGACATCCATCTTCCCATTCATCCTTTGCAACAATTTCAGCGAGGTTTTCATGAAACACAGTCACTTCAGTCCTCTAATGACTGTAAGAACTCCCAGGCACTGAGAAATAACCTCCAAACACCTTGCTTTGACATAAAAATTCTAGATGTTAAAAATGTTACAATGGTGTGGCTTCAAGCTTATGTCAGGTTTATCTAATATCGCATAAGAGTTGCTATTATTATCTTTTTTGTTAATTCTCGCCCAAGGATATTCTTTTCCATTGACTTTTAGAAAGAGTGGAAGGGATGGGGAGAGACAGAGAGAAACACTGATATGGTTGAGTACATTGATTGGTTGCCTCCCACACGTGTCTTGACCAGCACTGGGATCCAGCCTTGAGAGGAATCAAACCTATGACCCTTTGGTCCGAGGGCAGACACTCTAGCCACTGAGCAAAACTGGCCAGGGCTGCATAAGAATTTTAAAAAGTTTCTTTTGGCAGGATATTATATTCAACTTTCTACTTAGGAAACTCTATACTTCAAATATGCTTCCACAGTAAGATATGTGTAATTAGTTTTTCTTTTTAAAATATATAAATACCTTAATTACTGAACACTTGTGTTACCACCATTAAGGTTGTACTTCTTTTTAGAAGAAAGCATCTCTACAGTTAATTCCTAGATGACAATTTTTTCAAGTTCATCCCAGCATTGGAGGCCATTCTCTTCTGGGAGAACGGAATTCTTAAAAGTAAAACTTATTTTTGATACATGAATTCCTTTTCTGCCAGGTTAAAACAAAAATGTAATAATGAGTGTTCAGTGTTATGGACTTAACCATATCACAAACAGCCACTGCTTTCTTTTCTAAGATAAAATGAAATAATCTCCTGATTTGCTGTTCATTACTTAGGAAAAATATGATTCACATGGATTGAAACTATGACTACGATAATGTAACTGTTGGGATTTTTATGTCTTTGTGTCAATTACGAGATCTAAACTTCAAAACGTTCAATGTATTTCATGTGAGAATAAAAAAAAGAAATTCACATCAAGAAACAACACAGTTTAACTGCATAAAACTAAACTCACACACATGAATGCACACACATGCACACCAACATGCACAATCTTAAAAGCGTGTAGAAGATGGGGGGAAAGATTATCATCAAATGAGCAATATTTAAACTGACAGTTCACCTCTCAAAAGCAATAGCATAATCAAGAATACAATAAGAGGATATTTTTAATATAGTAAACAAAAATAACTTCCATCTTACAATTCTATATTGATAAAAAAATACCCTGCAATGATGAAAATAAAACAAATACATTGTTATATTGATTTAAAAATTGAGAGGTTTCACAATCAGCAAAGTTGCATAAAGGAAATTATAAAAGATAACTTCAGATAAGAAGTTACCCTCAGGAAATGATCCCTGTCAGAAGCACAGAAATGGAATGGAAAATACAGTTAATATAAATAAACATCATCTTTGAAAATACATGTGGACATATTAATGCAATGAAAAATAGTATATATGTACCAGGAGGGGAGGAAACAGAGTCAAAGTGCTCTAAGGTCCTTGCATTTTCCCAGCAGCATAAAGGTGCCAATTAATATTAGATTGTTGTAAGTCAAAAGTTCAAATTGTAATATCTCTGATAGTTGTTAAATAACTGACAAATGAATCATTTCTAAATATACAAAAATCAGAAAACATATTAAATCAAAACAATAAAGAGAAATAGATAAATAAGCAGCCATATGACTATGAGCATAGCCTTATATTTCTCAATACTTGATTAGACAAGTAGTTAAACATTACTAAGTATATGAAAGTTTTGAAACAATAACAAATAAGAACTAGCGTATCTACTGTAAATTTTCACACAGCAATTTCAGGGTACACGTTCTTTTCAATCCTGTGTGAAACAGTTTTTCAAGATGAAACTATACTGAACCATAAAGCACATCTCAATACACTTCAATGATTTGAATTCATATTGATAAAGAGTTAGCAAACATTTTACATAGTGACAGAGGACAAGCATCTTAGGTTTTTTGGGCAATATGTTCTCTGACATTGTAGTGTCAAAGTAGCCAGACACAATATAAAGAACTAAATAACATGACTCTGTTCCAAAAAATCTTTACTTATAAAAAACTAAAGGCCTGGTGCATGAAAATTCATGCACTGGAGCGGGGGTGTCCCTCAGCCCAGACTGCCCCCTCTCACAGTCCAGGAGCACTAGGAGCAAGAGACGACCCGGAGATCAGGGGACGGCGACACCCTATCACACCTCTGCTGCTGCCACTGCCAGCAGCACAAGCCTCAGCCGGCCCTGGTTACCTGAGCCTCGGGTGGCCCTGGGTGGCTGGGCAGCTGCCATCCAAGGCTTGCCTGTGCCTCCAGCCAGCCCTGGGTGGCTAGGGGGCTTAAGGGACTGGGGGACTCCAGAGGCAGGTGTGCTGAGTGGCTGGGCCCGCCTGGGGGCAGGCCTGGCCTTGCCATGCACCTGCTGCCCCAGTGGGTCTGAGGAGACTGAGCACCACCATCTTGTGGCTTTGGGCTCCACCATCCTTGAGGCCGTGGCAGTCAAATAGCATATTCCCTCCTTATTGGCTGTGGGAGCTGCCATCTTTGAGGGTGGGGCAGTCAATTAGCATATTCCCTCCTTATTGGCTGTGGGCGCTGCCATCTTTGAGACAGCATGAAGGTCAATTAGTATATTCCCTCCTTATTAGATAGGATAAGGCTGGATAGGCCCACAGTTTACCTACCTCTGATTTTTTTTTTTTTTTTTTTTTTGCAAGCACCAGGACCAAAGATTACCAGCTGCCCAAGTACCAAAAACTAACGATTCCGAAATCTCTTGATGTTGATTCCGCACATAGAGCTATCAAGCTGCTCTGCGTGTGCCACTCGCTACAGAAGCCCTTTTTTAACCTACCTCTGATATTGAGTATATGTCTTAGCAACTTTCAATTAAGTGGAAAAAAGAACCAAAAGGGAGTTAGAATATTCTCATATACATAAAAATTAAGAACGTCACTTCAAAGATAACATCATAATAAGATGGAAAATAGTTTGAAGTAGATGAAAAAAAAGGACACATCATATAAAAATTCTGAAATAAGAGTCTTTACGGAATTGATGTTTCCACATTTGGGAGCCTGAAATATTGTGAAAACATGTTTCAAAAATCAGTGGAAAATTGATCACAACTCAGGAGCCATTTAAAAGATAATTCTACAGTGTTGGGGCAATTTATTTACTAGTCAATCAAGGTTTCCATGATTTGAAACAGAAAATATATTAAAATTCTATGTTCCCAGTTACAGTGATAAAATAGCTATAATTAACTTTGGAACATAATGAGGTGTCAGTTCATGAAATTGGTAACTAAGGATAAGAATTAAGTATTTTCCCTCACTTTCCTCTGTGATTTAACTGTACATCAGGATCACCAAATATTATATAATGGAAATATGTTAATATAAAAATGTTAGCTATAAGACAAAGAATGATTAATAGAATTATAATATCTTTATTTTATAACCTCTACAAAAACAATGGATATAGTTAATAACCATAAATGGCTGCTAAAACAATAAGTGATATAGTAATAGGAAAATTCATAATGGATAAATCAAACAGATAACAACTGAACTGGCTCATCGTTTCAATATCCCAAGTACAGAGACAACAAAAAAGACATGCCTTTTAAGGAAATATTCAAGATCATCTATGAAGTATGTTTTCCTAAAATCCAAACCTTAATTCAATTAAGCCCCTAGATCTAACTTCCATTTGCAAGAAATTCAGGGGAATTTGGAATATTTTAAAGGTAGCAGAGAATGCAGTGAGCCCATTTCCAAATTTAGGAATATCTATAGACTAAATGACATAATATATTCAGCAAATAGATTGCAAGGGGAAAAGATGAGAAGTAAACATTATGGTTTAAAAGACATTTGACTTAAAAGTCCTATTCAAAATATGGGCATTTTTATTAAGCTCTGATTTTACCAATTTGAACATAAAAATAAAAATGAAATACTTAGGAAAATTTAGACATTGACTAGAGATTTGAAAATATTAAAAACTTGTTACTAAAAATGTTAGATGTTGATAATGTATTATTATATTTTGAGAAATATCCTATCCATCAGTGAAAAAGACTACAATGTATATGGATAGATTGGTCATGCATTGATAGTGATTTATGCTGGAGTTTGTGTACATGATGGGGGAGGGTGTAATTTTACTATTTTCTTTACTTTGTATATATTTGATACTTTTCTTAAAACTTTTTTTTTTTATGTATGGGAAACAGCCAAAGCAGTGCAAGAAGTTCAAATATAAGAAAAGAAAATATTATATAAATTAAAGAGTTAGTATCTATATTAAAGGTTAGAAAAAGAACAGCAAAAAACTCCAAAGGAAATACAAGGAATTAAAATTATATAGATTAGAAATGTATAAATAAAAAGGAGACATACAATAAAGAGAATACAAAATAAAACTTACTTTTGAGAAATCATATCATATTGCTAAGTTTCTAGTGAGACTGATTAATTAAATGTGAAAAAGTTGCAAATGGTTAAAGTCAATGTCAATAATAAATAGTAGCATTGTAACAAATGTTTCATATATTACAAAAACAATAAAATTGTTTAAAATTTATCTTAAAGGAATGATTTCCTAGAAAAATATAACCTACAAAATATGACACATGAAACAGAAACTCTTGCGCATAGTATGTTACTCTAAATGCTAAATTCATAATTTCAAAGTGTTCCAAATGTCTTATTGAGAAAATATACCAATTGTTGAAGAAAGAATTATAGTCTTATCTTATAAAAGTTTTCCAGAGAATTAACACTTTGGGTAGAGTGGCCAACTAATTATTAGTTCAGCTTAACCTTTATGCCAAACAGAGCAAGAGTATCAAGATAAAAAATTACTGGCCTCTCTCCTAATGAATATAGAAGCAAGAATCTTAAATTCAACAGGACATTGAATAAATTTTTAAAAAAACGAGCATGTTCAATTTATTCAAAGAATATATGTTTTATTTAACATTTAAAAGTCAGCCATTATAATTTGCCCCATCAATAAAGAAGAAAAATCATTAATGTTTAGTAAGTGCAAATAAAGTGGCAAATAAAACTCAAGCTCCAATTAAAAATAAGGCAAAATGAGAAAATATGTTGATCTGGTAAAGCACAGTTTCACAATCTATAGAGCAAACACTCTATGGTGAAATAAAAAGCTTTCCTTTAAGCTCTGGGATTTTACCAGGGCAGGTAAAAGCAGTTTGATTTTCAACTCCCAGCATCTGCATTCTTTTGCCTGAGGGCTTTGTCCTGCTGCTGGAGCCAGCTTTGTTGCCATGGTGGCCACCTGCCTAGGAGTACTTACCCACATGGCTGACAGGAGTTAGTACACACATATCCCATGATAGGCACCCTGATTCAGGGGAATGACTGTGAGGGGCATATTCGATATTGGCTCCTAGTTTCTCTCCAGTGGAAAAGTTCCAACAGCCCACACTAGACCTGGGCATCCTGTATTGGCTGTCTCCCCTTTCCTTTGTTTCTCATTTACCTTAATAAACTATTTGCACTAGAATCCTTGTCTCAGTCTGCATCTAGGGGAATCTAAAGAAATTCACGATATAATTTTTGAAATTCTGTTTATTATACACTTGGCTTTAGCAAGTTAGTTAATAGTCAAGGTCAAGTCTTTTATAATCACAGGAATACATTGCAACATTTTTACAGGAAAATACGAATATACAAATCTATATGTGCAGGCTTTTTTAAATCATTCACTACTACTAATTCAATTTTCAAAGTAGGTATAAAACCCACTAAAGAATATTGTGGCAATGTTTTTTTTTTTCCTACCTCCTAATCCTTGCACATGGAAATACTTAAGATAAAGTAACATTACCAGTCTCATCTTATACGTATTTATTCCTCTTCCTGGGGGAAGAGAGATTGATTTGACACATTAGTTTGAGAGAAGGAACTGGTCCTGATTAGCTCACCAGCTTCGCCCGTGGAGCCAGTCTGTGAACGAGATGCATCACTCTGTGAGCACCTTCCTCTCAGCAGAGCCCTGGGACTGTCCACGCTGCAGGTGACTGGCTGACTGACTGGGGCGCCTGTCTCATTCAGGAGTGGAAAGTGAATCAGCCCACTCAACTGTAAACCAAGAGATGAATTCTTAATACTATTGTCAGTTAAAAATCATATTTTCATCCCCATCAGTGTAACTCCTACAGGTATCTCCGACATGTTTGGCCTCAGGAGAAAAGAAAGGGATGATGTATTTATTGCCCCCATAAAATCACAAACTATTGACTAAGAATCTCTTGGGATGTTGACAAGCTCCACAAATGATTCTGCTGCAACTCAATTTTGAGACTCCTGAGAGACAATGATGTATAAGTACAGAATGTAGTTTACTGGAGAGAAGTTTTAAATTTGAAGGTTTTTGTATAAGTTTTCATAAAATATGGGCTAGGTTTTTTAAAATCATTACTTTAAAACTTTATTAAAGTTTTACTATAGTGTAGAAAATACACATAATTAAAAATTACAATTTAAGTTACATAATAATAATTAAAATGTTTGTTATTCTGTTAATTTGCCCAATAGTATCCCAACATATTAGGAACTACTCTTCAGGTTCTTTTCAACATTATCTTGACCAGGGCGAGATCCTCACCGCTCCCCCTCCCCACCCCTCCCCCCCCCCCCCCCCCCCCCGGAAAAAGTCTACATCTTTACTCAAGGTATCCAGCTTCCACATACCCTGTTCAGTCAATGGGCTTCCCTATATCCAAGTATCCTGGACTACTAACAGGTTGAGTTGAACTCAGAGAATAATTAGTGGGGTTTTATTTTTTTTGTGGATGGCCACATATTAGTAGAGCTAGAAGCTGAGACTCTTTTATTTGTGCCTGAGTCTTTCTTTCTTTTCCGAACTGAAGGTTTTTCCCTCTATATCTTGCTCTTCACTTTAACTCCCTGTTTTCTAGTTTAGATAACGGACACTTGCCCGCAGGCATGAAGCCAACTCTTTCTATCTCGTGGGGACGTCCGTGTTTTCTTTAGCTTTTGATTTTGCTCTGTGTTATATGGTGAAGTAAAACGAGCACAAATGGAAGAACTAATGAGCGGACAAAAGAGAAAGAAAAAATTAGAAAGTGCCTAAATTAATATTAATTGCCTTGAGAATAACTCAAATAACTCTTCACAAAATTCATTTGCTTATAGTTTCATAGCTATTTTGACATTGTTATACTAAAATTATTAAACATTAATGAAAAGTTTTGGAACATATATGCATGTGATTTCATCAATATTCCACCTAGATATATTAAAGGCAAACTAGAATTACAAAAATAGGCCTGGCTGGTTACTCTACCATTTTACACATGTTTTAAAAAATGGATGATATGTTAACTAATTGAGCAATGATTTATGAACCAGAAGGTCAAGGTTGGATTCCCGGTCAGGGTACATGCCCACACCCAGCTTGTGGGCACATACCCAGGGTTGCAGGCTCAATTCTCAGTGTGGGGCATGCAGGAGGCAGCTGATCAATGATTCTCTCTCATCATTGATGTTTCTATCTCTCTCTCCCTTCCCTTTCCTCTCTGAAATCAATAAAAACATATTTAAAAAATAAATCACATTATTTATTTCCATTCATTTGGTTTGCACTTTTAGAATATCACAAAAATGTATTCCGCTTTTAAAAGAGAAGGGCTAAAAGGGCATTGGTAATTAGTGGGACCTTCAAGACTTAATTTCATGAGAGCTGAAAATGCAGTGTTTTCTCTTAAGGCCCAGCCTCTTCTTGTGATTGAGTGTTGTACGTGGCTGTCACTAGATGTTGTCAAAGTAAGATCCTTGTGTTTCTTTGC